CCACATCACCCACCAAGTGCCGATTGGTCTATAAAAATACAGGTCTAACCATACATTCCCAATACGTCTAAAGGCGTGAAAATGACCTACACTTGCTTCTGCTTCTGCGTTAGCTGGTTGTAAACTGCAGAGAAAGATCCTGGTTGGTGGTCTCGTCTGTATCTGGACTGTGTTGTTGTTGTTGTTCAAGGACCTTCATATTGAATACACATCCGTTTTCCAGATTTCGCCTGTTTGTGGCCGACTGGAGGATGTTCGCCTGTCAGGTAGACGCGCTTCAACACCCTAGGAAACGTCAAACATAGTTGCACTGGGCAGTCCCCCTGAAACGTGTTTCTTTGAACGAACGAACGAACGAACGAACGAACTTTATTTTCAAAGGGTTACAAATTAGGCACGCAGGCCTGTCTTTCATTCGGCCCTTCCAAGCTTCCATCTTTCAGTAGAGGTGTAGCTATGTCTTGACTATGACTAGCCCAGGACCGTCTCCATCTGAGAGCCCATGCTGCTGACGTCACCAAATCAGGCCAACGATACCTTCTCAACCTAGCCTTCTTTTGACAGCAGATACATAATTCCACAATGGTGTGTGTACGTTCCAAGCAATCATTTATTATAAGATGCAATTGTTAGTATGCTTTTTATCCCCTGATGGAGAATGAAGCATAGGCCCTGAATCAACTCAATGTCTTTCTGTCTTTTCTTTCTCGTGCACCTCATGCAATGCCTCCTTGTTCTTTTAACTTCATTCTCTTGCTCTTTTCTCCGTGTATTTGTGCATGTGTTTGTGAGAGTGTGCATGTGTGTGTGTGTGTGTGTGTGTGTGTGTGTGTTTTGTCTGCCATTTTTATACAACTCTGGGTTTCAGTGCACAGGTATTCTAGTTATATTGCTCTCCTGTTATACTTCCTTTTACCATACTATCATCTGAACCCAGACAGGTATACTGAGAAGGACTCGATGCAGTCCTCACTTGTGTCGTCAAAAAAAATAATGTTTTTAGGTTGAATTTGGTACTTTTTTTTTTTAGCTGTTGGTTGCAATCCAGAGTATAATCTTAGTGATGGGTAGCCTGCATGTGGCAGCACGGAAGGGAAACAGCTACCCCAATAGGCTAACACCAGATAAATAATCCACAAAGGCTTACACGTTTGTTATTTTTCAAAGATCCCACTGACTGAGGATTAGAACCCCGCAGCGTTGGACAGACAGCAAGCGTGTTGATCACTGCATCACTTTGACTCACTAGAATTCCCGACACTAACCATGCTGCAGAACCATTACAAAACCTAGCTCCCTTCACGGCCGACCTGAAACAGACAGTTGTATGCCAGCTCTCCTGTCGCATGCACTAACCTGTTCAATGTGTCAGGTTTCTCCTGTGCCTTGTCAGCTACTGTATGCCCCTTTTGCCAGGTACCACACACTCAGTTACTTTCTTTCCAATCCACTATGGTGTTCGATGTGACAAACATATTTCAATTTCCAAGACAGGATGCTGTTTGCCAGCCAATTTTTTCTTGATGTTCAGATGTTTCAGACTGTCAATAGGGGTAGTCTTGGTCAAGTATACTGTCCAGGATAGGATGTTAACAAGAACTCCAGTGAGAGAGCGAAACAGCAACAGAAGACGGCCCGAGTCGGCCATCTTTTCTCTTGACTGGCCAGATGTATTTCTGAAATCAGGCCAAACTATCGATCACTATTTTGTCTTCTTTATATTATTTAGATGAATGTTAAATTAAGAATTTAGCTGAATAATATAAAGAAGACAAAATAGTTATTGTTAATTTAGCCTAGTATCAGGCAGATTTCGGGCCAGTCCAGAGTCTTTTTACAACAGAAAACCTGTGAGGAAGGTAGGAGAAAGATCAAGAAAGAGATGGATAAATAGTGCAGATGAAACTTGAAAAAGATTGAATAAATCCATCACTTGAGACGCGCAAGACAAATACAGAAAACGACGACAATGGGGCTACAACCTGGTAACAGTGAGACGACAAAACCACGACACTGAATTACAAACTGGTAACAGTGAGATGACAAAACCACAACACTGGATTACAACCTGGTAACAGTGAGATGATAAAACCACGACACTGCATTACAACCTGATAACAGTGAGACGACAAAACCACAACACTGGGTTACAACCTGATAATTATTGGAAACAATCTGCAATATGATAACGGACGAGTTTTTAACCTTTGAAAATTAAACGCAACTGCCAGAAATGATTGAGATAACTGAAACAGAAAGTCAAAACAGGGGTATTAGTTTGAACAGCAAAAAAAAAAAAAGGAAGTAATAGTAAATAAAAGGAAATGGATCCCTAAAATGCAATATTAAAGTTAATGGAACAATCTTCAACAAGTTGACATGTTTAACTCTTTGAGTCCCAAGGAACGCATCATACGTTCATAGGTTCCTACCTAGAAGCCCATTGAATGCATGATGAGCCGATTTTATTACTTTCTTTACTACCCCCTGGGCTTGTGCT